CTGCATGTATGTAAGTGCACCTGTGTCGTGCAGTGCCCACGGAGGTCAGAAGAGAGTGTCAGTTCCTCTGGAACTGGAGTCGTGGATGGTTGTTAGCCACCATTTGGGTGCTGGGAATTGAACTCTGGACTTCTGCAAGAAGAGCCAGTGCTCTTAATTGCTGAGCTATCTCTCCAGCCCCTAATTTACAATTTTTAGGAATTTATTTGTACAGATATGATGAGATGGAATCTGAAAATATCTAGATGTTTTGAGATGCCTTTTTGCCATTTCATTAAGAAGCTAAACAATAATGTAATGAACTTACTGATAAATCTATTCAGATTGCTCAGATTGAGTTCCTTGTGATGGTGGCTTTGTTTTTTTTAAAGGCATAGAACTTGCTTTTGTTTCTGAAGGCATGTTTTAGGAATTTATGATAATAATTGAGTTTCCTGGAATAAAAGAAGGATCTTTGCTCATGCTGTCTTTCCAAAAAATGCCAGCTCAGATAACAGCTCTGCCTTATGTGTGCCTTGTACAGTGTTCAGTGCTGGGGGCCTCACGCCTTCCTCTTACGTCCTTCCCTCACCTGCCCCTCATACTCAAGCCCGCCTACCTTGTCTTGTATAGTTTTTTTGTTTTGATGTGGGTTTTGTTGTTGTTACTGTTTTCTTTTTCTCCTGTCTGAAATCCTCTCCAGGTAATGTTGTGTTGCTGGCAGATACATAAACTTAGCAAATGCTGTAAGTTAAACAAACCTGAGCATGTTAATTAGAGGAAGACAGCTGTAATGAAGCAATGTTTAAGTCATGATGTAAAAGGTGAAAGGGAGCTGGACAGTTGAAGATAGGAAGAAAGTTCTTAACATAAAAGACAAAAGTTATGAAAGTCCCAGAGTGGGAATAAAATAATTATTTTTTAATTACAAACATTTTGAAACCCTTTTCATTAATCTTTTTTGGACAGAATGGCAAAGAGGTACAATATGAAATTAATCTACAAAAAAACATTTCTGGAATTCTATGAAGAAAAGATTAAGAACAATGAAAACAAAATGCTGTTAAAACGAATGCAGGCCCTGGAGGTAAGTAGCTAAAAAGAATAAAAATTCTAGGATGTGGTGAATTCGTTTGGTGCTTTTGAGAACCTCTCAAGGTTGTTTAGATGTTGTGTAGTTGAGTATAATTTGCAGGTCATAGTTGGTCTGGACTCCCCACTCCTAGGACATAGCCTGCTCTGTGTATGCAGTAAAGATGTGGTGTGTGAGTCAGTGGTACTCTTATCAAATTCTGTTTTTGAAGTAGTACTACTTTAAAAGTTTTTTTTTTTTCCCCATGCTGAGCATGGTGGTACATGCCTTTAGTCCCAGCACTTGGGAGGCAGAGGCAGGCGGATCTCTGAGTTCGAGGCCAGCCTGGTCTCCATAGTGAATCCAGGCCAACTGTGGCTACAGGGAGACCCTGTCTCAAAAAGATAAAAAAAAAAAAAAAAAAGTTGTTTTTGTTTGTTTGTTTTTTTTCCAACCTCAAAACTACTGATATTGTAGACTGGAAAAAGGGCTGTTCTATATACTATATACTGTACTATACTGTACTATATTCAGAACACTCCTGGCCTCTACCTGTTAGATACCTTCCAATAGTGCTGTGTGCCCCAGTGTGACAGAACGGGGCAAGTGTTCGCTAGTGAGTAAAGATGAGACCTACTTATCTAGAACAATTCACTCTATGTCAGCAGTTTAGAACCCTCCTGGCCAGGGTCCAAGACAAGCTTATGCCATGCATAATTTTGTTCATTGATGACTATCTGGCAAGACTTTAGTCTTTGGCATATACTGAGGCCACAGCTTGGCATATGTGCTTCACCCAGTGCGGCAGTGAGAGGAGCCTGCAAACTTTCTATGCGTAGTCTTTGTTGCCTTCCTTTTCCTTTGTCAAGCAGGGGTTAAAGTGTTAAAGAAAGCATGATTGTTGTTGATTACAAACATGCAAATTGAAGAGAATTAATTCAACTTAGAATAGCTTTTTGAAGGGGGAGTTTTGGGTTTGTTTATTTGTTTGGGACAAGCTGGTACTCTATTTTTGATCTGGAACTCACTTTGTGGAGCAGACTAGCCCCCAAATCGGGGCAAGCCTCTTGCCTCTCCTTCATGAGAGCTGGGATTACAGGCATGAGACCCATCAATTTACAATATTCTTTTAAGTACTTTAAGTGTAGCCTGTCTCCTTATATTCAGCCCATGAAGTAAGTAAAGCAGTCACTGCATTTTTTAAAAATGGGTAGCCTCAGGCTCAGAGAAGATGAATGGATAGTTCAGGGTCACATAGCTGTTCGGTTTTTGTGGGTGGCTGTCAGTTTCCTATTGAAGTTGTGACCATACTTACTCCCCTGAAGTGTGGAGTGGGAGGATCTTTAAATTCTAAGATATCTTCTGAAACCCATAAACAATAAAGTGTTCATTATAGTTGTGTTTTCTGTATTGTAGAATTAAGAGTGATTTGGTTTACTTTATATTAGGAGTAGGAGTTTGGTTTTATTTGTGTTCAGGTAGAGAGAGAAAGTAGAGACTCTTTAGTCCGCACACACTTGCTCACATTTAGTACATTATACTTCCTTGATGGGTAATGCATACACATCTATCCATTTTTTTCTCTCACCCTATAAATAGTGAATTTGTGTAGTTTATTTTTAAATGTATTCAGATAATTAGCTAAGAGAGAAGGGTCTTACAGTATATTTGGGAGGCAACACGTAGGCAGAGATTTCAGTACAATGCCAGAGTAGGTAGTAGTAGAAAAGAAATGTTCAAAGTGTGGTAAGTGTATAAAAGGATGATAACACAGGTATAGTCAGGGAAGCTTGAGAAAACAGGAGATGTTTGAAGAATTGCTAATAACTTTCCTGTTTTGTAGGACATTGTTTTTGTAGGACACTTTTTCTGCAGTTTGCCTTTTCCCCAGCCTGTCTTCCCCAGCCTGCCCTGAGGGATATGACCTGCCACCTGTCACCTTGACTGTCTGGGAGCATAAGCAGTAATTTCCTGTCATTTGGAAAACTGTTTTGATTCTTTTACTACTTTTTATTTATTTATTTATTTTTTTAAGACAAGGTCTCCCTGTAGTTCTAGCCAGCCTAGAACTCACTGTGTAGACCAGACTGGCCTCAATCGCCTCTGCCTTCACAGTACTGAGATCAAAGGCATGTACCACCACCACACCCTGCTCTTTTACTACTTCTTGACTAAGCCACTCCTGTGGGCCTGTAAAGGATGTGGATCTCTAGAGGGCATGATGACCCTGATAAGAGTTAGAATGTTACATGGGTGGTATATGAAGGATAGTTTGGAGGGACATTGAGACCAGGGGTGGAAAGAGCAGTCAGAGATTTAAATTGTGCTTGATATCTGCTGTAAATTCTTTCCCTCAAACATACAGCTTTCAGTTGGCTCAGGGTTTCAGCACTAGATCCTTGTCTACTTTGCTAGAGTACTCAGCAGAGGAAGGGAAGACAGGAAAAATGCAGGTCAAGGACCTAGAGTCACAACAGCCTGACACCCACTTTCTGATTTCAACAGTGCATTTACTTGAGAATAGCTTTGGAAGAATGCTTTGAGAAGAGATTCTAGGCTATGTACGTTTTAGTAAAGATGTGTATGTGTCAGTGTGTGTCTGTCTGTGGGGCAGGTAGTTTTGTAGCTTTATCATTTGTTTCATCTTTGGAAAGTGACCAGTAAAGGATGAGTCATCTACTGATAGGCAAGACGTCTCATGGTAGAGTTGGTCACTAATAAGTTGACTAGATGACAACAGAATCAGTGACAGTCATTCAAAATAAAATTCAAAAGCTTTGTGATATGGTGACACTAAAATTGAGAGACTAAAACTCAGAACCACTTAGTGTCGTTTTTTTAAATTGCTTTGATAGGAAGGCACGATAGGAAGCAAACTTGTGAATGCTAACAGTATGCAAGTCCCAAATAGCCCAGTTTAAAAATTTTTAAATAGCCTAATTTAAAGATATTTTTATTTTATGTGTATGCGTGTATTGCCTGCATGTAGGTAAGTGCACCCGTGTTGTGCAATGCCCACAGAGGACAGAAGAGACTGTCAGATCCCCTGGGGTTGGAGTTATGGACATGTGGGTACTGGGATTCAAACCCGGGACTTCTGCAAGAACAACCAGTGTTCTTAACTGCTGAGCCATCTCTCCAGCCCATAGCCTAGTATTTTTGTGTGTGTTTATTTTATTCTTTTTCAGAAAGGGTCTTGTTATGTACCCTAGGCTGTCCTAGAACCTTCAATCCTACTGGCTCAGTCTCTTAGGTGCTGGGATCATAGGCACATGCTACCTTGCCCAGCAACCCACAAGTAGCTTTATTTACAATGCCTGGACTTGCTGCATGACATTTGGAAGACCTGAGTCACAAGAAGCTTCAGAAGAAGGCTGAGCTAGAACACTCTGCTTGCTTGTAATCCTAGAGCTGGGGAGACAGAGACAGGTAGATCCCGGAGCTTGCTGCTAGTTAGCCTTGCCTTCTCAGTAAGCTCAAACAACAAGGTGAATCTCTCCTGAGGACCAGTATCCAAGATTGTCCTCTGCCCTCCACATGCCCACCACATACACACCACACACACGCCACACACGCACACACACACACACACACACACAGACACATAAAAGGGGAGGAGAAAGAATAAAGTAGACATTAATGAATCAGTCTCTTAAAAGTTCCTTAGGACAACCTAGGTTTTAAAGTGGTTGCTTCCAGCCTGGTTTCTTGGAACACTAATTGCAAGATAAAAAAAATGTAGTATTAAAATATATTATTTAAAAAGACTTAAAAATAGCACTTGAAATAATTTAGAATACAACCCTTTTTTCTGACCCTTTAGATTCTTTCAAAAATATGGGACTGCCTAGTTTTACAAATTAAGTTATTTTCCTTCATGAAAGCACATCTTCAGTTATCTTAAACAAGATTCTCTGTTGACTTTCTCATTTGCATTATTTCTAATTGCTGTTATGTGCCATTGAGTTGACATTTTGTTAATGTTGTAGCTCTTTTGATAATACTTTGTTTAACCTTTGGATTTTAACATAAGTCAGGAAGATGTGCATGTTTGCTGCTAAATGATCCTTGCTTAGGATTAAATTTTGTAGTTCATTCCAGCTGTAAATATTCTAAGATTATTTATGATAAAGTTGACCATAATAACTACTTTCAGAGAGAATTCCTTTCCCTTTTCTCTTGTTTGAAAAGTATGCATAGGGCCTAGAGAGATAGCTCAGTGGTTAAGAGTACTTCCTGCTCTTGTAGAGGACCAGGGTTGATTACCAGAACCCACATCAGGTGGCTCACAATGGCCTGTAACTCCCATCTTTAAGGGATCCAATGCCTTCAGGTCTCCACTGGCACCACACATGTGAACACCTGACACACATGCACATAAACATGTAGATTCATGTACACATAAATAAAAATCTTTTAAAAATGTATGTTTAGTCATGAAATAATGCTTAGAATTACTATTATAATTTCAGTGATTTAGTATGTCAAACTACAAGTTATAAATTTCAATGGACTTCTAAAAGAAATTTTTTTTTATTTATTACTTTTATGTGTATGCGTGTATTGCCTGTGTAGCTAAGTGCACCCATGTCGTACAATGCCCATAGACAGAAGAGGCTGTCGGATCTCCTGGGACTGGAGTTATGGGCAGTTGTTAGCTGCCATGTGGGTGCTGGGATTCGAACTCGGGTCTTCTGCAAGAACAGTCACTGTTCTTAACCGCTGAGCCATCTCTCCAGCCCCACGGTGGACTTTCTTAACTGGGATTTTCATTTGCTTCCCTAGCCGTACCCTGCAAGTGATAACTCTAAACTTGCTTCTGAGAAGGTTGGTGACTATGCACATGCAGCAGAGTACATGAAGAGCAGTCAAGTAAGGTTGCCTCTGGTAAGTTCTCAGCTTTGAAAGGTTTTTATAGCAAGTGAGAAAAACAAGCATTGCATGGAGACTAAGGAGATTATTTTACTTGTTTACAGTATTTGGGTTCACTGAACTACAAATGTTTTGGGTGATAATCTGTTTCCCTTAAGTTAGGATGACTTAACAAAATAATTTTTATTGATTCTTTCAGGCCCCCTGGTTATTGATCATATTCAGACCCCTCCCTTATCTCTAACTCTACCTTACTACCCCTGACTTCATGTCCACTATTATTTTTAAGGCATATGGAGTATAATGACTTTGGATGCCATAGAACAAAAAGTATGAGTTGTTTCAGTGAACAGCATGAAGTGCTTTTGCTGAGGTAGTTAAGGGTGGGAAAAAGTCATAGGCTTGGATTGCAAGACTCTTTGCTAATTCCATGTTCCAGAGACAGAATTCTGAGCTTCGTGAATTTAAATGGAGAATGAAAGAAAATTATATTTTCATTTGTATTTACTTTATGAGAGTTTACAGTTTTAAATTTTTTACTTATTTTTTGATGTATTTGAGTGTTTTGTCTCTTGGCTTCTGTAGGCACTGCACAACAAAAGAGTGTATCCAATCCCTTGGAGCTGGAGGTTGTTAGCTGCCATGTGGTACTGGGAACCAACCCAGGTCTTCTGCAAGAGCAGCCAGAGCTCTTAACCACTGAGCCATCTCTCCAGCCTTGAGAGTTCACATTTTTTTAAATTTAAGAATGTTACAAGCTATAATTTTTTTTTGGTCTTTTTGAGACAGGGTCTCCCTGTAGCCCCAGCTGGCCTAGAATTGACATACCCGGCTACAAGCTATAATTGTGTCAGTGGAGATTACAGACATTTTTTTTTTAATGTTTTTTTTTTTATTATTCCAAAGAGAGGCACTTTTTAACAGAAATAACTTGAGAGAAATTTTTCCAGAAATAACTTGAAGTAGGTTGCATAAAAATATATATACAATGAAGTTTAAGGGGGGCAAAATAGGAATAAGAAATCAAAGGCCAAAGAATTTGCCATCATGGGGTTACAAACATATTCATAGCACATTTCTGCTAAGGTCTTAGATATTGTTCACTCTAATTTTTTTCAAAATTTCAGTTGGTCTAAGAACTGCCATTAGGTCTTATTAAGTCAGTGTACGTACAAAGTAGCACATGTATTACCATATTGAAATGTTTGTTTTTGTAAGTGTAATTTATTTTATGATAGGTGCTTTGTGGGTCCTTTGGAAAAACAAAATTATAAACATCATTTTCCAAGTTAAATGTTTAAGGTAGATGCACCTTCTAGTTACACACACACACGCACACACACACACACACACACACACACACAAAACCCTCATTATACACGTTGACTTTTTTTATTAAAATTTTTAATTTTATTTTTACATCCACAAATGTATTGTCTGCATATATGTAAGTGCACCTGTGTCGTGCAAAACCTGCAGAGGTCAGAAGAGAGCATTGGATTCCCCTGGAACTGGAGTTATGCATGGTGTTAGCTGCTCTGTGGGTGCTGGCCATCAAACCCAGGTCTTCTGCAAGAATAGCCAGTGCTCTTAACTGCTGAGCCATCCCTTCAGCCCCATACATTGACTTTTTTCAGGAAGTTATTCTCATTGATTTTTATTTTTAGATGTCTATAGCATAACACTGTATACATTGAATGTGTTTTTACCATGAAGTTGGGAGTTTGGCTCTCTCTGTCCTCTTAGATAAATGTATGTTTACTTTCATATTGAATCTAAAGCTTTCTTTCTTCTATAATTTTAGGGAACTTTAAGTAAATCAGAATGGGAAGCTACAAGTGAGTATCATTCACCTAGTTGATGATTTCAGAGATCTTGTTTGAAAGGATTGTTAAAACTTGAACATTTTTTAGTTTTGCTGATATATTTTAAGTTGTATTTATATTGATGTGTTCAGGTGCACATAGATCTCTATATGTATCTAATTTCCGTTTCTTACACACCTGTATAGTGACAAGAGAAAATGCTGCAGGCTGTTTTGTTACCCGGCATATGCAGACATTTCCATTGCATCCTTGTTCGTAAGGGCCATCTCTGATGTCTTTGCCTCCGGGTTCTGTTGAACTTTTAGCTTATGGGATACTTCCTTGGATTTTACTTAATTTGACCACTCTGTTAACAATGAAGGTAGAACACAGAACACTTAGCAGAGTAAGCAGGGCCCTTATGGGCCCTGTGGAGCATGTGATTGGAAACAGGTGTTAAATACATTCCAACATGAAGACCTGCACTTCCTCAGCAGAATCCTCCCAGATCCTTAATGTTAAGAATATGCTAATCCTGGATGTCTTGAGACCCTAAACACAGTTTCTGCTGCCCCTCTAAAGGTTTGTTGATTGTGTTGAAGGCAGAAATGACAAGCTGTGTAACAAACATTGAGTACTGACTTACAGAGAAGTCTATGGAAGGACTTCAGCAGATTAAAGAACAAACAAGTCTGCCTTCTAGAATTTAGTAGAGGAAACATACAAATAAATGTACTGCCAAGCAGTTTAGGTGCTAAAGAGGGGGAAAGTAGATAGGATTTAACCAACACTAATAAAATCTGAGAAACACCAATAATTGATTATTATCGAGTGTTAAACATGTATCTGGTGTTGTTGTAAACTTGTCATGTGTTGTAATTAACTTAGTCCTCACAAGTTTATGAGTGGACTGCTATTTATTATGTCTTCACAAGTCAGAATACAGTTAAAGAACTTGGCTAAAAATCACAGAATTCATCTGTGGCTAACCAAGTTCCCATTCTCTTAACCACAGCCTCATAAAAATCCTTACTGTGAGCAGGGCTTTCAGAAATGTTGAGTTTCAAATTATATGTCTGAAATCAGACTCCAGTGTCTTAGTGGTGTTAAATGGCCCTAAGCAGATAATAGTTTTGAAATAAATGATCTTATATCTGCCTGAATATGACTCAAACAATAGAACTTTCAGAGTTAATGTTTTTCTTCCTCAGAGCTGCTTGAGAGTGTTTTCTCTGATATGAGAAACTAAATTCTCACTTTTGTTTATTTCCTCTTAGGTATTTATTTGGTTTTTGCCTTTGAGAAGCAGCAGTGAGCACCTAGTTCCCTCAGAGCAGCACTCCATCCTACAGACTGAACAGTCCGTCGCAGATAGATTTAACAGCAGTTTGTTTATTTTAATAGGAAGTTCTAAGTGTATAGAATGCTGCCAGAAACTCCAGTGTATAAATTCAGCATTTACTGTCTGTGACAGATTAACTTTGTGTGTATATATGAGAACAAGTCAGGCTTTGTCTTTAAAAATCCATTTTAAGAAGTGATCTAAGAATTCTGTTTCCCTCTACTGCTGTAAAAGCTATAACAGGGCTTGTCAGAGTGGTGGACCTCCCCACAGTGCTGTGATTTGTTGAGTGTGTTTACAGAGCTGAACTTTCTGCAGCTGTAGAATTGACAAAAGAGCATACTGATTGGCCTGTGTGCACTCGTTTTCACAGTTTTGTTACATAGTGTTTTTCAAGATTAAATGGACTGTGTTCTGTACATTTGGATGTAAGTTCAATATATATTGCTAAAGTTTTCAGATTTAAAATTTGATTTCAGATTGTCATTACAAATTACCTGGCTAGAATTTTACTGCATTTCAATAAAATAACTATTTGCTAATATACTGCAATTCTGAGACTCTTTAGGTACATTTTAGGTAGCAGCATGGAATTACTTTGGAGTGGTTTGGCTTTCTCCCAAGAACTTACCATAGGAATTCATATATCTAGCTATTGAGATTGTAATCAGATGTATTTAACTTTCTTCATTGAAGAGTGATGCCGTAGTTCATTAGATCCAGTGAAAATCTGTCATAATCCTGTTAAATGATTCCTTTATATGTATACACACAAGTGCTACAAGAGTAGCACAGTAAAGGAAGCAGACTTCAGATTATTCCTCATTGATGGTAGAACTTGATTACTGATGCTGTGTACCCTTTCCCACCCCAAACAACAAGCAGTGTTCCTCTGTTACAGCATAGGTACTTCACATAGCAGACCTACTGTCTAGTCACCATTCCTCCTTGTTGAGGTGTTGGTGATATAGCAGTTAGCAAAGCTGCTTTCCAAAAATGTACGATGGTTCAGAACCATTCTTATTTTTTTTTATATATTTTGTTTTTATTTCTATGTGTATGAGTGTATTGCCTATATGTATGTATGTGCATCCATGTTGTGCAATGCCCACAGAGTCAGAAGAGGGAGTCAAATCTCCTGGAACTAGAGTTTTAGACTGTTGTTAGCCCCCATGTGGGTGCTGGGAATGGATTCTAGGTCCTCTGCAAGAACAGGGTGCTCTTAACCTCTAAGCCGTCTCCCCAACCCCCTCCCTCAAGAAACCATTATTATTGCCATTTATATAATAGATTCCTAGAACTGATTCCTATGTGAACTGTTGTATTACATTTAGGAAACTTGCCAAGTTGAGGATGTACTGAGAAACTAAGAGCAAATACAATTTTGTATATTTATAAAATCATTATTTAAAGGACAATTTACAGAAGTTACTTTCTATAAAAACCTGGAGTATTTGCTTTAAACGGTCTCAGTTAGCTTGTATATATATTCAGTGTTCATGGTATTAGAATAGCAAATGTTTTAGCAAGAAAGCATGAATTCCTTCTGTAGTCTGTCAATTTTAGAAAAATTAAGTCTTTGTTTTAGTGATGCTTTACCCTAAGTCACTTGGGAAATTAACAGTGGTACATCTGACTTGTGGCTGCCATTGGCTGGGAAAGCTTTGGTTGAGGGTACTGGTTCAGGGGCAGGAGACTGGGAGGAAAGCTCTTGCTATTAGAAGTACTGGCTCATTTTACTTCCCAGGAAATATCCCTGAGTACTTTGATAGCTTGGCAAGTAGAGAAAGTTTTGTCATAACTCATGATCTTAGTTACATGTGTTTTTAGCCCCTGCCTTTCCATTCCATTCCATTGGTAATTTTCAGAATAGAAGAATCTTCCAAAGAATGAAGTAATACAAAGGGTGATGATACAAGCTGCAAAAAAACAAAAGTGGAGTTCTGAAGGCCTTCACTGAGGGACCAGAGAGAGCTGGACTGCGTCTGAGAAGGGCTTTGGGTGTTGCACCCACTGCTGTAGGAGAGCTCCCGTGAGACCACCTTATTGGAAATAGTTCAAGCAGCTGCCCCTTTCCTTTATGTTATTTGCCTCTATCTGTTTTTCCTCCACTCTCACACCTCTCCTTGCTGAATAAGTGACTCAAGGTGAATTCTTGGGGACAAGAATGGGGAGGCAACCTTGTTCCACTGTTGCCATTGCCAAACACTTTTTCCTGCACGCTTGGAGCCTAAATGTTTAGTTTTGTCAGGACTTTTGGCACTTAATAAGAGAGGCTTAGCTTCTCATTGCAGGATCCAGGAAGAGCTCGGGCTTGGTCCTGAGGGTAGTTTCTCAGGAGCTGTTCAAGGCACACCCAGACCTGCCACACAGTGCGTCCTCCAAGGTTGAGTTTCAAAATGGAGACCAGTGCTGGAGAGATGGCTCCACAGTCAAGAGTGCTTGCTACTCTTTCAAAGGCTTGAAGTTCTATTCCCAGGACCCACATTGGCAGCTCACAACTGCCTAGAACTCCAACTCCAAAGACTGATGCCCTTTTCTGGTCTCTTCGAGCACCTACACACATCACACACAGGTCACACACACACACCTTTAGAAATAAAAATGAATTCGGCCACTGGTGGGAATGACACAACTTGAACTGGAGGTATTTGGTGTGGGCACATGGCTGCTCTGCGCTATGATCTAAAATGCTAACATAATTGTTTAAGCCTAGAATTTACTTGGGGGAAAAGCTCCAGTGGCCACAGAGAGAATCTGAGGCATTTAGCAGTTGGTCTCTACACATACTAACCTATACAGCAAGCCTGCTAGAGTTGACTCAGGCACCAGTGGGCTAGGCCTTCCATGCCCCTGAGCACTTTAGAGACTGCTTCTAGTATAACTGCTGAGGACTTCTGCCATCTCTGAGAGAAGGCACTGACTGAGTCTCTTGAAACTAGTGGACCTGTGTGCTGACTGAAAGGCAGAGAATACAGATTTGCTTACAACCAAAGCAGCATTTTAACACTCCTACTCCATGGCGTCTACACTCCAGTTGCATGGTGCATATTTCAGGTATCAGCAGGTGAGCCCTGCAGCTTAGGGTATTAGCTATTGGGACATTTTCACTAGGGTACATTAAACTAGGTCCTGGTCCTGCATAACCAGACTTGTAGAGTCTATACACTAAGGGGGTGGTATGCCCCAACAGTATTGTGTAGATGTACAAGAGAGTGGCCAGGAGAAGTAAGGAAGGAGATGCTGCTTTATTGTGGTTTAAGTAGGCAGGCCTAATTAGGTGGTACTGTATTGAAGTGTCATATATATACAAGCATAGCAGAGATTTCTCAACGGGTAGAACATCAATATGAATTCATATCCTGACAACTGTCCCAGATACAACCACATCTAAGATCTAAGTGCAAAAGCTGCTTTTATCTGGTTTGGGATGTTATATGAATGGAATTCGACGTACCTTTGTTTGGCTTTCACTCAGCAGTGTTTATGAGACTTTTAGTCTCAGTGCTTGTACTTCATTCATTCTCACAATTGTGGAGTATTCCATTGTGTGAATAAACAATATAGTGTTTATCTAATGGGTGTTTGGTTCATTTCTAGCTTGAGAACTGTTAACACTACCAGTTCTAGTAGGTGAGCTTTTGGATTCCTCCTAGGAGTAAGGTTGCAGGGACATAGTACATACACCATGTTCACATTTACTGACTATTGCTCCAAAGCTTTCCAGAGTTCACTTATCCTACGTTCTTGATAGTATCAGTTTTTCACTTTGTCCAGCTGCACCTGTAGTGCTAGCTTGTGGTTTTAGTTTCTACCAGACTGCTTATTAACAAGATAAAGCAGTTTTCGTAGGTCTGTTGACATTAGACTGGTGTAAAATTACCCATTTTTCTGTTGCATTGACTTATCTTTTTATATTGGTGTATTGGTTTTTAAAAATGTGTGTCTTCTGAATACATGTCTCACTGAATATTTGGTTGATGAAAATGTTCTTAATTTTAGTGTACAAAAATTCAGTGTTATTCTTTATAACAAGCAGAAAGGTTTTGCCTATTCCAAGGTCACATGCAAATATTTAGAAGGCAATGTGACATGGTCATTTAGCAAAGCCACAGTAATAGGTTCCCTCCTAGGGCCTATGACCGCCCAGCCAGGTTTACAGAACCAGGACTGAGTGCCTATGGATCAGACCGATTCAAGCAGAAAGTGATTGGTTACCCCCATAAGTAATGCCACTACTGCATTAAAGTGAACATCTTGTCTTGCAGGTCATTATTTTAGCTTGCAGAGTTCACAGCTAGGTAATATTGTTGACCCCCCCCCCCCGAATCTTGCATGCCACCTTCTGGCACTAGGATGGCTAGCCAGTGGGGAGCTTCCAGCTCAGCTCCAATTTGATTTCTTCATGTTCTTTAACCAAAGTATGCAGTATCTTTGGCAATAGGGTATTGCCATAAAGTTCAGGTGGGCCAGACCAAGGGCATTGACCATACTATATATTGTTTTGGGGGTCTCTGGGACCTTCCTGATCAACAATTCACAGGGTGGTGTCCCACACCTAGAACTGGAGTTTTTATTTAATCACCCATGGCTTTGGGAGGAACATTATCCATCTATGGATGGTAACTCTTCAGAGTCTTCTTTTTTAGATCATATTTTAAAATACGCTTATAAAGTGGTGGGTTTCCATGTAACTTTTTCATATATCCTTAGTTTCGGTTAACCACCTCTTACCCCCTCCACTCCTTCCTCCCTATCCTCCCACTTCCATCCTTAGATCTTTCTAGCCCCAATATTCTCCTGTTCCACTTCCATGTTCAACATGTTCTAACCCATATCCCTTAAAGTTCCCCCAACCTCCAGTGGCCCCTTTTAGTCTTTTTTTTATCTTTACCTGCACTCAGAGTTAAACACACTACTCTAAACATTCATAGCATCTACATACGAGGAAGAACATGTGGCATTTTTCTTTCAATCAATATAATATTTTCCAGATCCATTTTCCTGCAGATTTCATAATTTCATTCTTTACCAACAAGTAAAATTCCATTGTGTATATATACCACATTTTCACTATCAATCTATTGATAATATCTAGGCTGGTTCCATTTCCTCACTATTGTGAATAGAGTCACAATGAACATGGAAATGCAGGTATCTGTTGTTAGTATACAGTCTTATGTATATACCCAGGAGTGGTATAGTAGTTTTAGAGTTTCGGGTCTAACATTGAGGTCTTGGAGTCATTTGGAATTGATTTTTTTGCGGGGTAAGAGCTAAAGATAAATTCCATTCTTCTACATGTAGATATCCTGGCCTCCAAGACCATTAGTTAAAGGGACTGTCTTCAATACATATTTTTTGTTTCTTTGACAAAAATCAGGTGTCTGTAGCTGTGTGGACTTACATCTTGGTTCTCTAGTCTATTCCATTAACTTATGCACCAATTTTTCTACTTGTATTGTGCTGTGCCAAGAAGAGATCTCTTGTACTGTCAAGCAACCTGCAAACTGCAGAGAGCTCCAGGGATGCAGGTGGGCATTTTGGTGATGCAGCTACTTTTGAGTCAACCCTGCTCCTGTAAGAACCCCTCACTCATACTTCTGTTAGTAACCCCAATAAAATTCTTTGGTTCACCAAGTTGGATTTTAGTGCAATTGTTTCTTTGATCTTGTATGGGTTCCCTTTCTGGGATGAATAGATGTGTATGTGTGTTGTGTCTCCCTAAGAAGTCAGTCACATAACACCTGTCTGTGGGTATAAACTAGTATTTAGAATGCAATTTACATACTCATTTCAAAGGACTAGAAATGGATTCTCCCATAGAACCTGTGACTTTCCTAGCCTATGATAGGTTTTTGACTAGGTTTACAGTATCAGACATGGTACTATATATGGTACAGAAGTAAAACTTTATCTCAGAGTGGGCCTCAGATCCATCAGGAAGTGGTTGGGTATCCATGGAACAGTCACACTACTATTGCCCCTTTGGGCATATCTTGGCTGGCAGTTTGGTACTGTAGCACACATGGTCCACAGCTGGGCTCTATCTCTGATGATTTTTCTCCCTTAGCAGACCTGGAACTGACCTAGAAGCCACCTCCCCTGAAGGCTAGCTCTCCTAGCATTGGAGAGCACTATGCAAGCGGGTAAGGGAGAACATCAGTCGATAGTTCTAAAAACCACATCAGTGAACAGCACAGCAAACGACATTGGTGCAGTAGTGTCACTTTTATTTTGGGGGTAATTAACAGCTCCTAATTGGACTTAAAGCCCACTCAGTGGGAGGAAACATGTCTGGTACTGTAAACCTAGCCAAATACACATAGCTGGAAAGAGCATAGATCTTAGAGAAAAGACAAGGCTCTCATATCCCTAGACTAATGTAACTTCTTACTATGTGCAAAATATGGTTCCTTAAATTACAGACACCCACCCATCAAAGTAGCTTCCTTTTAAACAGAGGTTATTACAGAGTTATACCACTGATCTCACACAAAGATTCTCTGTGAATTGCCCAAGCCTAAGTGGCACATTTAGGATGCAACGTCTACCCCTAAGACTCATGGAACATAGAACAAGGGATGAAGAGAACTCTAAGGCATCTTTCAAGTCTCCTCAATGAATCTCCCTCATGCAACAGAGGGCCAGGAACACAAAAGACCACAACTGGCCAAAATGGAGAATAAGAGTCAGCAGAGTATGGGTCCTTGGACAGGCCTCCTATATTGAGGTCCACCCACCCAGGGCTAAGGGACCACTGTGGAAGAGGGAGCGGAAAGATTGTAAAGAGCCAGGGAGGAGGTGCATGACTATATGGAAATAGTCCCACAGGTGTGTGAGACCCTTCTATGAACCTACAGCAATGGTGTCAGCATGCACAAGACCCATGCAAACCTAGGCAGACAAAAACCCAGCACAGAATTGTGGAAATGAACAGCCAGCCCCAATCTTAGTCAAAGAATTATTGGCAACTGATTACTGCTGGGTGAGGAAAAGCTTATTTTATTGAAGAGAGAAACTCTAGATAGGCTGAATAAACCCTGGTGGATGAACTCTCACTGAGGGACATCTGGGGACATTAACTTTGCATAATAGACCGTAATACAAATGACAGTATGTATGAACTCTGGGGTGGGGGGGGATTATGGGAATGTGCCAAAGGGGAAGGGGGTATAAAGATGATTTTTCTCTATGAATTATACAGAAATTTAATAAAAAATTTAAAAAATAAAAATAGATTCCTTATAAACCATTTTCATACATTCTAAGTTTGGGTTGACCCTCACTTGAGCCCTCACTTTTCCCTCATGCCACCATCCCCCCATCCCTGTGTAAATTGCCACCTCCAGTGTTCCGTTTTCATATTACATTTTCTCTACCAGCCCAACTCTCCTTGTGGCTTCTGCTCCCTCCATTCTCTCCACCCCATGACCCCTTTGTAGATTACAGGTCTCTACAGGTACTCCAACTTAAACACAAATCTAAAACTTCAAATCTAGGCTCCACGTATGAGAGAAAGCATATGACCTTTATCTTTCTGGGCCTCAGTATAATATTTATCAATTTCATTTATTTCTCTGAAAACTTCATTTTTCTTTAATGCTGAATAGAATTCTATTGTGTAAATTTACCACATTTTCATCCATTCAGAAGTTGATGGCCATTATGTTGATTCCATTCCTAACTATTGTGGGTAGGGCAGCAATAAACACGGTTATGTAGGTATCTCTGTCATAGGGTATAGAGTCCTTTGGGATATGCCTAGGAATAGAGTAACAAATTTATATAGTAGTTTTGTATTTAGATTTTTGAGAAACCTCCACACTGATTTCCCTGTTGGGGCTACCAATTCCCACAAAGTGAATAAAGGTTCGTCTCGCCTACATCCTTTCCAGTGTTTTTTGCTATTTGTTTTCTTTATGTAGCCATATTGACTAGGGTGGGATGCCCGTCGGCATGAAACTGCCAGGTTTTCCTGTGTGATAATCAGGCAATGTCTGACAGCCTGGCAGAAGCCCACCACTACATGTAAATGGGGCATCCTACAAAGCACCTATCAACTAAGGCTTTTGCTACTGTCTCCACACTATAAATATCCTGGTTTCCCCCTAATAAATCGGGGCTGTATCACGACCTGTATCACTGAGTCTGACTGAGCTGTATCCTGAGTCTCACTGCGGCTGGAACCAGCCTGTGATACAATCTCCCCGGAGGGGGCTGTCCCTTCGTAAACAACCACTGGCGAAGATCTTGCTTTCGCCGTTCCTGCACCTCCCCTCGTGATCCGGTGGCCGACGGATTGCGTACACAGAGGGAGCGCCGGAACCCGCCCGGGCAGCTGACAGCTACGGGCAGAGCCACCAGCTCCCGGTAGCCGCTGAGAGCCAGGGACCTGCACAACAGGGACCCGCCCCAGCGGCGCGGGAGAGGCCGGCGCCACGCCAGCAGCTGGCGCTCCGAGATTCGCGCCCACATTTCCCTAGTGACTGAACCAGTTTACAATATCACTAACAGTGTGTATGTGTCCCTCTTTCCCCACATTCTCACCAGCACTGTTATTGTGTCTTCTTTTTAA